ATATGGTCCTGAGGGGAGAGGGGGGGTGATCCTGGCGGGAGGAGAGAGGCTGAGGAAGGAGGGATATGGTCCTGAGGGGAGAGGGGGGGTGATCCTGGCGGGAGGGGAGAGGCTGAGGGAGGGGGAGGCGATCCTGAAGCTGGGGGATGTTGAGGAAGCGGGGAGGGGGCTGAGGGACGAGGATGTTGGATGGAATCAAATATCAGTGGGATTCAGGAGGAGGAGAAGGTGTTTGTCAGCCTTCCTGCCCTTAAACACGAGCCTGGCGTGGAGCTTTCCACGTGTGGCTTGTGCTGGGCTCCGCCAGCCACGGGAATAAAACCTCGTGGTTCTTAATAAAGTCGTTTTCTATCGGCGCTGTGATAGTACAGGTAGTAGGTAATAAAAAAAAAATCAGCCTGGAACTGCTTTGCCAGGGGTGCACTTTGCTCCTGACAAGGATTTTGGTTCTGATATTGCAGTCTTCTGTCAGAAAATACATTACCCTTGTTATTGGTGTATCTCGAGGTCTCCCTCTTTAACTGTTTAATCTTCCTACAGACCTTGGATTCAGGCACCACTTTATTTTCCAGGAGGAATTTCTCTTTCACATAATGTGCTGCAATTCTTGGTCTGGAGGTGAAAATCCTAGCAGGTTTCAAAATACGATAACACTTGATTTATTTAACCTGAAATTACACCGTTATTCAATGTAAAAAATTGTCTCTTGGTTTCAAGGCTGCACAGTGTGTTTTGACAAAGCCTCGTAGAAGTGAACTTGGATTCTGGGCTGTTTTGAGACTTCCAGGAAATCACTGTCTGTGGAAATGTGTACAATTAATTCCATGGGCTGGTGGGCAAAGAGCTTGATCCTGCATAATCTTACCTGTGGGATAAAGATAGGGGTGAATATCACAAACCCTGCAAAACCAAACACCTCTGGATGTGATTGTAGAGTCTGATATAATTCGGTGGGAAAAAGCAAAGTGGGAAATCTTTAAATAAAAACCATAGAGTTTGTTTTAACATTTAGAGTCTTACATCGGGGCAGAGAGAGGGGAGGGGTTGGGAAGGGAATTACAGCCTTGTCTGGAGTCTGTATTGGAGCATTTTTAGACCTGTGTATCAATTTAGGGGCTGGAAATTATAAGATCAGATTCTTCACCTTATGTTTTTCCAGAGATGTGTCTGAATCTCGGGATTGTGTGAGGAGGAATAGATGTCTTCATCCTCTTTTCTCATAGATTTGGGTTGAATTTGGAATATCAGGGTAAATGCAGAGGTGATGGATTACTGGAATATTCTCTGTCCGTGGCTGGAACAAGAGGATCTTTAAGGTCCCTTCCAACCCAAACCATCATGGGATTTTTGTGACTCCAGACCTGATTCAGAATCCAGTGGAAGTGTCAGACTCCCAAAAATTCCAACGTGCTTTGGCTTGGGCAATTCCAGTTCCTAATTTCCTCCCGGATTTTAAGCTGGCACGTGATACTAATCCTGGAGGAATGCACTGCAGGATTTGTTGCCTTCAGCTGGAATTCAGAGCACTGGCTTTAACCTGCACAGGTCTGAATGTTCTGGAGCTGCACGTGTGGGCCATCATCTCTCTGCTCTGTCGCTCTGCCCTCCCTGAGATCACCAGGGATGCTCTGGGGGAACCAGATTTCTGTGGAGGACCTGCTTCTCCAAGGGCCTGAACATCTGGAATTAACCCCTCAATTTGTGCTCCTCGTGCCCCACTGTCCAACTTCCATCCAATTTACAAACCCTGCCGGGAAAGTTCTGAGCTGAGCTGGGCATATTTTATGTGCTTTGTGTCT